TTCCTCCACCCAAGTACTAGAATTGATACACAAACAACACTCCCAAGGCAATAAGAGAACTGCCTCATTTCCTTCCCACTTGTCTTTGATTTGATACAGTCGTGGAAACGGATCAACTGCCGTGCAAACAAATGGTCCCTAACACAATAATGGCAACATGAAAAGAAATACACAGACATTTGGCATTAGTCAACCTCTCAAGTTTTAGCAGTATCGACTACTCAAGCATCTTTCCATTGGATATCAGGCCAGCTTTTTGTAGACTCGCTATTCCTTTCCTTCTTCGAACTTCCAGCAATGGACAGATTAGATATCAAAAATGCTGGCTGTGAAGGGCCGCCATACACTCTTGAAGTCTTAACACAGTTAAGGACTCACGGAATAAGAGAAGAATTTAACAAATTCACACCAAAATCAGGAAGGTGATACTGAGAAAGCCAAAAATCCGTCCAGCCAAATCATCCCATACCAGCATGTACGCGCTTGGATACTAAATGATGAGAAAAACAACGACGACGACCACCACTATAACAAAAATTACAAGCACCCACCAACACTGCACAGTAACAAAAATTCAAATATCCATAAATCATCAGGATAATGTAAGAGTAGCATGCAGCGACAAAACCATCATACTTAATACACAATAGGCAATGCCATGCGCAGATATTAAATTGGAAGTTATTATTCTAATTTTAATAAAGCTGACTTGCTTAGTTATGATGCAAGCCAAAAGTTTTAGAACGTGTTTGGTTTCATGAAGGAAATCACCAAAACCATGGTTTTAGTGATTTCTAACGTGGAACCAAATGTTTACTTATAACTCCCTTCAATTCTAAATGTAAGAGCTCGTCAACTAATTATCATAGATTAAGGATATTAGTCGAGTTAGTTATTTGTAAAAACATGCATGATTGTTTCCTTAAAACACCCCTCCTTTAAGTCATTTACATTAGAGTATAATCCACATAACTCATACATCATTTAGAATTCTAATTACAGGGCAAGGAAAAAAATAATAAAGATGGGGAGCAAAAGAGATTGGCATCTTATATTTACGACCAAAACAAACCCCCCAACCAACTCCTACATTTGGGACCAGAGGATTGGAGATTACGAGCATGTCAAGGTCTTTACAACTTACCCATGAAGACTTAGATTTCATACTTTTGGAAGCCTTGGCTAACTGTGTAGTAGCTTGGGTTGTTGCACCCGCAGAAGCATCAATATTTGATTGAATATCATCTGGCACGATGAAACAAACTATGAGGGAAACAGAATTAACTAAACATAGCAACAAAAAGCAAGCTATATAAACTCCCATTATGCACAATGGTACATCATTTACCAATAACAACCCCCTGCTCATGAACCAGAACGGCTAGGTCCTTGAATATTTCATTTACTTGTCCAATTTGCACCTCTACCTCCTTGATGCCCTGTTCTCTTTCTTCAATCATGGCCTCGTTGAATGCAATTTCATTATCCAATAAAAGTATCTCCCGCCTTCATTTTTATCATTGATCAAGAAAATCAGACCATCAATAACAGCTCTTGTTATAACCAGCGAGTTGAGTATGAGACAAACAAATTATGCATGGCACAATGGAGTAGCGGAAACTTTTACCTCTTTTGTTCTCTAATAAAAGGTTGGCTTTCCAGACCTATGCCAGTTGATTCTCCACCAGAGCCAAAGCTGTTTATCAAAAACATAAATAATGGAATTAGAAAAGAGAAGGGGGAGTAACAATTTTGAAAGTATAGAAGCATATTTATCATGCAAAGGATCATCAGACCTCGTTGGTAAAGAAGAAGCAGGAGCAGCAGGAAGGTAGGTAGATTCGCGCTCAGAAGCAAGCTGTTGCACTCTCTGGAATTCTTGTAACGTGGTTTGGAAATCTCTCGCCAGCTTAGCATCTTCAATTTTCTTACCAGACTGGTCCAACAAAGGATAGAAAATTAATGGAATAAAAAATCACCAGAATTTTTTCCCCCTTTCCCTCATTTAGGAAATTTGACAACATAAATATAACCAACCATTATGCTTCAAATGGGCCTAAATATAAGCATCAAATTCAGGGCCAAAGACAATATGAAAAGCGAAATAACAAACAATACGGCGGATTTTTCTTCCCTTTTCTAATTATCTAGTATTGAGGTAATTATTATGGGTAACAAAGTCATTTGAGACGCATCAATTAGGCTAGGAAAAACAACAAACAGCTGAAAGACAGAGTGAGAAATGAAGTAAATCATACATCAGCACCGGCAGCAAGATCGGATTCGCTCAAGGCTTTGAGCTTTGCAGAAGTATCCTTCACCAGCTGCAGTATCCGCTGCCTCGTATCGTGCCTACCAAATAGTACACAAATCGTCAAATCCAAACCAGCGGTTAAGTAACAAACAGAAGGGCAGTTAGTTTCGGAAAGTAGACAGAAACATACAGCTTCTGGCGATGACCAACGGTGTCTTTGACGGTTCCAATGGCATCAACGAGTCGTCGGAAAGTGGCAACGCCTGTATTGATCTGGAAAATCCCCGCAGCAACCGCCTGCGACGGCGATTGAGTTCGGGAAGCAGGTCGCTTGGGCCCGCCCTGAATATCTTGAAAACTCATCCTGGATTCTCAGTAGGTATCTCCAGTCGAATCGACTTCAAGTGAAAACCATGAACGAAAATGCAAACTAAAGAAAGCGGGTAGAATAGTCACAGCAGAGCAGAGAGCTTGTTGCGGCCAGTGTTGACTCAGAAAGTGACAAGCTCTTTTTTTCCCCCCTTCCGGATAGTCAGGCGATGAATCAATGGGGTAAAGGCAGCATATGGCCCCTTTGATTTGGATCAGAAGGCAGCGAAACGCATTAATGACATTAAGCGTGGCTCACAGCTAGCCGTTATGAGAAGGACCACACCGGCAAAATACGTTTACTCCGGCGGATACCGAAACCCTCCAGCCGATCTTTCGGCCTTTCGGCAATTAGTGCAGAGGAGAGAAGGGGCTAGAAGGCTGGGATCAATTAGTGCAGAGGAGAAATGGCCACGGGCCGTGGGTCCTATCATAATACCACGGTGTTTGTACTTTGTTCATGGTATTAGTTACGGTGCAGTCTAGTCAACGCATGGTAAATCGGGGAAGGAACGGTAGAGATTAGGGATTAGTCATGGGCCACAAACTCACTATAGGGACTTTTTTAAGAAAAAGAAAGAAAGGTGTAATAACTGATGTTGGCACAAATGGCAACCTCTCAAACTTTTTAAATTTAAAAATGTAAATAAAAAAATGATAATAAAATTTTTTCAAATTATATAAATAATAATTTAATTTTTTAAAATATTATAATTTTATTAAAATGTTAGAAAATTTTGTGTTAATAAATTGTAAATTTAAAATATTATTTTATTTTTATTGATAAGTTGTGATTTTTTGTTCAATTCTTATAATTCTTTAAATAAAAATTATTATTCATTAAATAAAAGTTATAAATTGGAAGAAAGGTGTAATAACTGATGTTGGCACAAATGGCAACCTCTCAAACTTTTTAAATTTAAAAATGTAAATAAAAAAATGATAATAAAATTTTCTCAAATTATATAAATAATAATTTAATTTTTTAAAATATTGTAATTTTATTAAAATGTTAGAACATTTTGTGTTAATAAATTGTAAATTTAAAATATCATTTTACTTTTATTGATAAGTTGTGATTTTTTATTCAACTCTTATAATTCTTTAAATAAAAGTTATTATTCGTTAAACAAAAGTTATAAATTGGGTTTGTTATTTTAAGAACATGTTTTTCAATAATTAAAATTATACTTGATAAATTATAATTTTTTATTTAATTCTTGTCATTTACGAAATAAAAATTTTATTCTTTAAATAAAAGTTATAATTGGGGCTTATTTGTTAATAACAAAAATCACACGTAACAGGTTGTGATTTCTTATTTAACTCTTGTAATTTACAAAATAAAAGTTGCTATTTCTTAATAAAAGTTGTAATTAGAACTTGTTATTTTCAATAAAGGTAAAATAGTCTTTTTACTTTAAAATTTATTTACATAGAAATCTTTAAGAACTCCAATAAAATTATAACATTTTGAGAGACTAAATTATAATTTATATAATTCAAAAAAATTTTATTGTTTTTTCCCAATGATTATTAGGAACTAATAACAATTACAAACTTAAAATTATTAAAATTTCAATAAAAGATTATGGTCTTGTAATAAATTATTTTTTTGTTGATTAACTTGATATTTATAATGGATTTCATAGTTTAATATATTTTCTAAGTAATGGCAAAAAATCAAAAATTATTGGCTCACAGTTTGCAACTAATTCTCGTAAATTTTTAATTAACATTACAAATAATTCTAAATGTATTTTCTTAATTTTTCAAGTGGTTTGCCTATATATTGAGAAAAAAAATGAGATTCATAATTGGTTCTTTTAAATTATCAATTAATGTTATAAATAATCTCAAGTGTATTTTATTAATTTTACAATCAACTATTTACATTTTTTTAATTGCAAACAAAAATCATAATCTATTGTTAAAATTTCAATAATTTAAAATATGTAATTGTCCTTAATATTTTTATAGAGTCCTGAATTGTCATTTTTTCAATGTAAATTGAACCTCTCACTTGATTTGAAAAAATTCGTGTAGTCAATTATAAGAAGTCATACAAAAGTACAAATGTAGCAAGAAATCAACTTACCTAAATGCTTCAAAATTGGATAATGGCCTATGGACATATGCAAGGTATTTTACCCGAGAGCTTCTTTTTTGAGTTTGCCTGATTACTCCCCACGTGGATTAGTTTTAAACTAGCTACAGTAATCTTCATGTATGAGTGAATAGATATATTATTGTCTAATGATAAATCTCACTCATTATGTGTACTACGTATTTAAATTCAATAATTATTCATCAATGTCTACTAATTCCTACTAGTTTATTATTGTCTAACAAGTATCCTAAAAATGATTAGTTGAAGTTTGACTGTCTTAAAAAAAACCTCCCATGAATGAGAAGACACTAATTTTGGATTTATTCAATAAGTATCATTATGGAAATACCACATCCTCCCGTAGATGGTTTTGATATCCACTTTAGGGCAACTTTGAATGAAGAAATGGAGCACACATGCTTAACCCCTCTCTCTCCTGACAACAACGTGTTAGAGAGCCTATAGCCTTACCTGTAAGCAAGCGACAAAATTTCAAATCTACACATAACAAATCATCCCAACTTCCACATGACTGATATGAGGAATGTTAAGGGCAACCACTGAATCCCTATAATTCTGCGTAGAAATGAATAGCCAATATCAACCACTAGTTTTTTCAAGGATGGTGACAACCTCCTTGCTTTCACATTTGTATGTCTCATTATATATATAACCCCACATCCCTTTGCTTCTATCAAATCCGAAAGTTCCTCCCTCATTGTAGAATCCATATCAATGTTATGTAGCATCTGAAACTTCACTTGGCTCCCGATAAATTTCAAGCTTTAATCCTCAATAATAGACTGTAAAATATGCTAGCTTAACAATCCTCCCAATAATAGGCTTGAACTTGATTGTGAGGAAATGCAACATGAACAAATTAATCCTGAATTCCTATCATTTATGAATTGTGATGCCATTGCTTTTGTTGTAACACACTAAATTTTTTTTTAAAAAATAATTTAACTCAACCATAGTTGGGTTATGTAACAGCCCTCCTGGGTCACCACTGCCTCTCCAGGGTCTTTTCCCAGGCGCTGGACAACACACATGTCACCACATGATTGCCGGCTTTCCCACTGGTGGTACAGTGGTTATTCCTCACCCCACCCTCATGGGGGTCTTTTGGAACCTCCCCAAACTCGAACCTCCAACCTCTACCACCTTAACGAAGTTGAGACGAAGTCTGGTACCATTGAGTCAACTTGACCATTTTTTTTTCACAGGAAAAGAATTGAAGAAACGAAAGGAAACGGGTGAGTTTTTATAAAAATTCAGAGGGTCCCACATTTTTTTATTATTTCTTCTTTCCTCTCTCCCCCTTTTTTTTATTATTATTATATATACGTAATAATTGTAGCACGCGGCGCCGAAAGCAAACTCATTCTTCTTCTTCTTCTTCCCTTTTTTTTTATTCACACCTTTTCTCTTTTTTTTATAATAATAATAATTTAATAATATTTTTAATTAATTAATTAATAATTTTTTTAAAAAAAATTTTTAATTTAGAATTATATCCTAAGTTATATTTAATAATTATTTTCTACTAATTTGCTTACCTCTAAATATTTTTTAAAATTTTTATTAATCAAAATTAACTATTAAAATTTAAATTGGGATGTTACATTTGTCATGATAAACTCTACAATGCTCTATATGAGCAGGGTCTCGAATTCTCCATCGTTGGTTTAAATGTCCTTGTATTGATATCTAACTGTGCACCTATACATACAATATGGTTTAGGGCAGATTCGCATAATAAGCACTCTTTGGGAGGGACATATAAAATAGGAACTGATTTCGTATAAATAAAAACCAACACCTGATGAAATGCAGGAAGGTTGGTGATGAGGCGAGAGAATATTGCCAAGACTCCTATTATTAGTTATGAGTAGATGATACCTCTTTTTGGGACACGAACAATTCCAAGCGTGGGGCCTAAACCTATTACCTATCTCAATGAATGTTTTTTTTTCATATCAAAATTGTACTTTTGAATAGTGCCATAATACCAAGTATACATAATAAGCAAAAAGAAGTAAGATAGGCCAAGAGGAACCCACCCTCCTTGTGGAACTTTCATGAGCACGCGCGGTTGATAGGTATAGACCCTTAATCACCTAAAAGAACAAAAGAAATACTACATCAAGCATGATATTTTTGTTCCAGATGAAAACAATAACAAATGCCATCAAAAACATAGTCACAAATGTTCTATCACAAAAGCAAGTCCTGGTCACCCAATACCAAAAAAGAATCAATTAGAAAAATAAAACACACATGCCATTTAAGTATTTAGTCAAAGAAACACATGCTCTTGACATTTTCCAAGCTCTCCAATATTATCCTATGAAATAGGCTAATATGACAGCCCCAGAGAAAAACTAGCCAAAATTCAACCAATTGTTGGGTAGAAAGCAAAGCATACCAAAATTGAAACACGAGGAAACAACAATAATCACATGAATATTAAAGGGCTTGATATTAAATCACTAGTTTACTTTTTATGGGAGTTATACTAAATGATAAAAGTGAAACACATCAATTGCAATTAAAGGAGTAAAAGGAAAAGGTGATATATGTTTATATCTTCATGTGTGTGTTGTCCGGGTTACAAGTAAGGAAAGAAAAAACTCTCCAGCTAAGAATAATTACCATAAGCATTTCCAATTAAAGTTATTTCCTAAAATCCAATAGTTGAAGTAAGAGTCAAGATCATTAGGATCTAGTTTGCTTCTGGGATGTAAATTTTTTCATATATACGTTTTGAGGTGTGCACAACTTTGACATATGGAAAGCAACTAAATGCATGGCACTATTTGATGATAGAGAAGGTGGCAGTTATAACAACCTGACTCCCAACAACTATTATAAAGGTTCCAATAATAAATACAGGCTAAAATACAAGTTTTGTAGGACCAATAAACATAAAGGAGCTTAAAATAACATAATATTAGTTTAACAAATCATAGCAAACAATATCGTTTAGTATGATAGTCTAATTAGCTATGAGTCATAAAAGTTTTTAGTAATACAATGGAGGTTTTTGGACCAAAATGTTGCTGGGCCTATGTACTGTACTACTAAACAAGGGTGCATCATAACAATAAATACAAGCTGCACAAAACATTGAATGATTGCAAGGTTATAGAGATAAATTGTCGCATATTCTTCAGACAATTCTAATAATCATTATCAAGTTATACCAACAAAATTATTGAAAGCTGTATTATTCATAAAGTAGCTAAGAATACAACCTGCAATCTTAAGTGTCATGCAATCTAGGGCCAAACTATCTAATATAGATATTACATATTGCAGAATTTGCTCATCATTTCAATAAATTGATCAACAAATTCCAAAATAAATTTCATTTTACATAAACAAAAGTAAAAAAGTGTGCTTACCCTAATTGAAAAGGCAGTAAAGTGATCAAGATCTGCGAGCATAGCTTCAAACCCTAGTGATACACAATATGCTCAGCAATCAGGAGGGTTTGTGTTCAAATATTCTCTCAAGAGTTTTGTAAACAAAAAGTCAATTAAGGTTATTAAATATTAACTAAAACTTAAGCCATAACATCTGTGCATAAAGTAGCACATAAAAGGGAATGCTATGTAGGCATGATCAAGTCTAACATACTAGCACTGTAAAGGAGAATCCTTTCAAGAGAATTCCAACCATCGAAACTAGTCTTTGAAAGAATTTGAATATGTAATTTAGGGATATCGCGCACACTATTTTTAGATTCCATAATATTGTATTATACAGCCCAACAGAAAAAAAAAAAATAGATGCAAGCCAGATTATTAGCAATAGGGCAAACATAAATTCTACTTTGTTGGTGCCATAATGTTAAAGAGCAAAAAGACCAACTAATATGATGCACGCAAGTAATACAAGTTCTCTTGCAAACAACATAAAACTTCTTAGAAAAAAAATCAACTTTCTAACTGATAGGATTAGATCATCAAATCTTAGAATGTCCAACAAGGGAGACCAAATAAAGAAAATAAATAACCTTGCATTAATGTTTTATGTACAACTTGCAATCTTGATATTGACGCTAAAACTACAGTCAAGGATAAGGTATAGTCAACTTACTAGATAATCTCATGGAAAGAGATAACCCTTTGATGTTATATGTATTTGATTTAGTAAAATAGCAATTCGATAAACCAAAAGTTGTATTTTGAGCTAGTAGAGGATGTTTTACTAGCAAGAAATGTACACAACAAAATGCTTTCAAGGATATTAGCCATTTGGTGTAACACCCTCAAATTTACAAACCAATTTTTCGCAAGTTATTAATTCAAGAAATCATTTTTTTTTTCATTGAACCCTTATCATACCCTTATCATGGTAGAAAAATTTCTACCATGATACATCCAAGACAATATACCACAGGTCTTAAAATATCTCAAAAAGCAATTAGAACCATGAGGGACAGACATGATCCTCATAGCATGTTATTTAAATTAGGTCATGAATCAAAAGGGACAGACATAATCCTCTTGGACATATAAATGCATTTAATAAAAAGGATTAGAGTTTACATGCTCCATAGACAAGATATGTCCTAAGTTGGCACAAGATACATTGTATAATCCAAAATAAGAGGCAACGTAAAAGATGGTGTCTCATACACCATAATTACACCTCTGGTGCTTTCTCGGCCGGATTCGCTCCTGTAAAAATATTAACCACGGGGAATGAGACTTAAAAGTCTCAGTAACCAAAAATTAATATGTAATGATGCATGCGGATGTAACTAATCATGCGATTGCTAAGTGGGCACACAAAACATTTAACCGAACAATATTTTCAAACAAACCGAACAAGTATTTAATTGCATGACTGCACCTTATATCCTCCTTTCACCATGCTCGGACGCCAAATCACCCGGCCAAAGGTGAGTTGGACCAAGCGACACGCCACTCATTGGGTCCAATGAGGGCTTACCACGTGGTAATAATTAACCGAACAGAAATTCCCATTAACACCATACATTAAAATACCCTGACAAGTCATGCATCATTCAAATATCCAAACAGGAATATATCCGAACAATAATATCTCATCATGATAAACAAAAATAAATTTTTAACCCACTTGGCAATAATTTCAAACAAGTATATACAGTATTTATTTTCAATAATTCATAATTTTTCCAAACAACAAAACAACACATAACCATTCACAAACACACTCATCACAACACATTAATAATGGTTACCTTGTGTCTTGAATAACAAGTTCCCCTTCACAACTCCTTTTTCACCACTATCTTTGTCAATATAATCTACATAATTATTTCACAATACTATATATTAATTTTACATTAAAATAAATAACTCTAATTTAAAGAGTTAGAAAGTCTTAAATCTATAGTCCATATTAACACTAATTTAAGATTTATGCCTTATTTAACTTCCCAAATTCTTTTCTAAAATTCTCGTACCCTAATGAACTATTTTTTTTTATCCTCAATTCACTTCTAGTATCGCAATTTCATCCTTCTACATTCTAAAAATTCATCAAAAATAAATTAAAAATTTTAGAATTATCCTGAAGCCTCAAATCACCTTTCTATAACCTCAAAAATACCTATTCATACTTAAATAAATATTTAATAATCATAGATTTATCCCTACATCTCAGATTCCACATAAATTCAACCATATAGATCTAGATTTTAACTCAAAAATTCTTAAACATGAGTTTCAACCTTAAGAAAATATTCTATAATATTTACTATATCCCTAAGAATTTTAACCTATATTTTTAATCCATCATATCATCAGATTAACTATCCTATAGAAAAATCCTAATCAAAATATTTACTCTATCCTACAAAATAATCATATCACTAGAAAGCTAATATTATTTAGAAAATAACTATAAAATTAATTTTGTAATTAAATAAATTTTTAAATGCTAATCTAAACAGGAAAGTTAGAACATACCTGAAGAAAAAAGAAAATAATCCCCCCTTGCGAGAAAACGCCGAGCAACGTGAGAGGAAGAGAGAAAAATAATATAAAAATGGGATTGTGAGTCCCAAAATTATATTAAAAAAAAACTATAGGTTTGAATTTAATTATTCAAACCTTTGGGCCCAAAGTTGCAATTTTCTCTAAATTGCATCTTAGCCTCTCATGCTTCCTAATGCACACACCCCCTCCTTTTTATACATGAAGGCACCTCTTCTCTTCCCTCATCTAACCAATGTGGGACTTAGAAACAACAACCTTCCACCCCCCCTTTTTTTGTTCCTTCTACCTTCTCTTTTTTTTTTAACACACACATAAAAAAAATTATTTATGTATTATATCTTAACTAAATATTGCTTATGTGTTTTAAATTTAAATTTTTAAATTCATAATTAAATACCTAATCATAATATTATTTCTAAATAACCTCAAATAATATAAATTCCTATTATTATCATTTTTTTTCTCAAAACCTAAATTCCACAATTTCTTTATTATATAAAAATCAGGATGTTACAATTCTCCCCTCCTTTTAGAAATTTTGTCCTCAAAATTTAATAGATAAGCTTAGAAACTATGTACCTAAGCAAATAAATGTGGATAATCTCGCCTCATACTCTCCTCGGTCTCCCAAGTAGCATCACCTAGGGCTCCACCCTTCCAAATCACCTTCACGAGTCGGATGGTCTTATTGCGTAGTTGTTTGTCCTTAAAGTCCTCAATTCGCTCCGGTTCGGATCTAAAGGTCAAATTCTCCCTCAATTCTACTTCTTCAGGTTCAATAACATGGGAGGGATCCGGGTTGTACTTCTTCAACTGTGATACGTGGAACACATTATGGATACCTGCAATCTGTGGAGGTAATGCAACTCTATATGCAGTAGATCCAATTCGCTCCAAGATCTCATACGGGCCCATAAATCTAGGTGTCAATTTCTTTGCCTTAATGGATCTACCAATGCCTGTCACTGGAGAAACCTTCAAAAATACATGATCTCCTACTTCAAACTCTAACGGCCGTCTCCTCTTATCAGCATAGCTCTTCTGTCGGCTCTGAGCGGTTAGCAATTTTTGCTTAATCATTGCAATCTTCTGGGTGGTTTGCTCTACAATTTCTGGACCAATGATACTCCTCTCACTTAATTCTGTCCAACATAAAGGCGATCTACACTTCCTTCCATACAAGGCCTCATAAGGCGCCATCCCAATACTAGAATGATAGCTGTTATTATAAGCAAATTCAGCTAATGGCAAATGATTATCCCAACTACCTGGTAGTTCAATGGCACAAGCTCTCAACATGTCCTCCAAAGTCTGGATCGTCCTCTCTGTTTGTCCATCTGTTTGGGGGTGGTATGCGGTGCTAAAACTCAGTCTGGTACCCATAGCCTTCTGTAGCGCACCCCAAAAGTTTGAAGTGAACCTTGGGTCACGATCTGACACAATTCTAGAGGGTATACCATGAAGTCTAACTATCTCCTTAATGTATATCTCAGCAAATTTCTCTAATGTAGAGGTAAACTTGATCGCCAAAAAGTGAGCTGATTTGGTGAGTCGGTCTACTATCACCCAAATAGCATCCTTACTCGAGGGTGTTCTTGGCAGTCCAGTGATGAAATCCATAGAAATATCATCCCATTTCCACTTTGGAATATCTAACGGTTGCAGTGTTCCAGCTGGCTTCTGATGTTCTATCTTTATCTTCTGACACGTTAAACATCTAGAAACAAATTCAGTTACATCTTTCTTCATTCCTGGCCACCACCAACCTCGCTTCAAATCATGGTACATTTTAGTTATACCGGGATGAATTGTATATTTGCTCCTATGAGCTTCTTCTAAAAGGATATTCCTCAATCTTGGATCATTAGGTACACAAACTCTACCTTTATACTTCATCACTGTGTCCTCAGAGATGGTAAAATTTGGGGCCTTACCTACCACTATCTCCTTCCTTATATTCCTTAAGTAGTCATCACTTTGCTGTGAGACTCTGAGATCTTCCCAGAATTTGCTCTCAAAGTCTGCTACCTGGAGTGCGGCCATTTGATGTTCAATCACATCTACTGGAACATCATGAAAACTGTTCCATAAATGATATTCATGAACCATCAAATGTGCAGCATGAATAGTCTTTCTACTTAAGGCATCAGCTACCACGTTAGCCTTACCCGGATGGTAATGTAATTCAAAGTCATAATCCTTTAGAAATTCCATCCATCGTCGCTGCCTCATATTAAGCTCTTTTTGATCAAATAAATACTTCAGGCTCTTATGGTCACTGAAGATTTGAAACTTAGATCCATACAAGTAGTGTCTCCATATCTTTAGAGCAAACACAACTGCAGCTAACTCCAAATCATGAGTAGGGTAATTTTCCTCGTGTGGTCTCAACTGTCTGGAGGAATAGGCAACCACTCGGTCATTTTGCATCAAAACACATCCTAAACCCTTTAAAGAAGCATCAGTGTACAGAGTGTACGGCACCACAGGGTCAGGAATAGTCAATACTGGAGTAGTGGTTAACCTCTTTTTCAATTCTTGGAAAGCAGCTTCACATTTGTCAGTCCAAATAAATGGGGCATCCTTCTTAGTTAGCTTAGTTAAGGGCATCGCAATTTGCGAAAATCCCTTAATAAAGCGACGATAATAACCTGCTAGACCTAAAAAGCTTCGTATCTCTGTAACAGATTTTGGCTGTTCCCACTTCATCACTGCATCAATCTTACTAGGATCCACCGCAACTCCATCTCTGGACACAACATGGCCCAAAAACTTTACTTCTTGGAGCCAAAATTCACACTTGCTTAATTTGGCATAAAGCTTATGTTCCCTCAAAACTTGCAAGACGATTCTTAAATGTTCACCATGAGCCTCCTCATCCTTTGAATAAATAAGAATGTCATCAATAAACACTACTACAAACTTATCTAAATAGGGTCGAAAGATCCTATTCATGTAATCCATGAATACCGCAGGAGCATTCGTAAGTCCAAACGGCATCACCATGAATTCATAATGCCCATATCTCGTCCGAAATGCTGTCTTAGGTATATCCTCTGCTCTCACTCTCAATTGGTGGTACCCTGACCTTAAGTCAATCTTTGAGAAAACTGCGGATCCCACAAGCTGATCCAGCAAATCATCGATTCTCGGAAGTGGATATTTGTTCTTGATGGTTACTTTGTTCAATTGTCTATAATCAATGCACAATCGGAGGCTTCCGTCCTTCTTCTTTACAAAAAGGACTGGAGATCCCCAAGGTGAAACACTCGGTCTGATGAAACCCTTCTCAAGTAGCTCTTCGATTTGCTTTTTCAGTTCCGCTAACTCTGAAGGGGACATCCGATAAGGAGCCTTAGAAATTGGCCCTGTACCGGGTACCAATTCAATTGAGAACTCTACCTCGCGCTTTGGGGGTAAACCGGAGACTTCGTCTGGAAATACATCCGCAAATTCTTTGACAATTGGGATATTCTTCACGCCTTCATCAATCTAGCTTGGATAGAGAAGAAAACCATGTAGGCCTGGCAACCCTTCTTCATACATCTATCAACTTGCGCCGCCGACAAGAAAACATGATCTTGAGTCTCGACTGGGGTCACCGACAAAGAAGATAAAGACACACTCCTCTCTCTACAATCTAGGATAGCACCATTTGCAGCCATCCAATTCATTCCCACAATTACATCCATACCTCTCAGTGGTAGGATAATTAAGTCCATAGTTGTTTTCCTATTTTTAAACTCGACTACTAGGTTAAGGCATGCCTTAGCGGTCCTCACAGATTCTCCCGCAGGAGTAGACACATTCATATCAAACGGTAAAATACACACAGGCAAATCAAGGTTCTTTACACAAGTTTCAGAAATAAAAGAGTGTGTAGCACCCGAATCAAATAGTGCAACAATATCATGATGAAGGATTTTGATGTTACCTCTAATGGCATCTGGGGAGTTCATGGTGTCCTGAGTAAGAGCAAACACACGACCAGAGACAGTAGGATGTTGGGAAGGGTTCTTCATATTTGAGCCCTGGTTGTCCCCACAAAACTTTGCAATGTGACCGGGTTTCCCACAAATGTAACAGATCCAGCACTGTCCGAAATGACGACGCCCGCATTTAGTGCACTGTTGAGAGCTCGCTGTACTCGGGGCAGGGGTAGATACTGTTGGGCTCCTCTGTGACCCGTAATAACTACTATGATAGCTCCTCTGTCCTTGGCCCCTTTGAAATGGACCCTTCTGCCTTCCTTGGTTCCATGAGCTACTCGAACCCTGATGGTTTTTCTTCATAATGCCTCCGGTGGGTCGAGGGTAGGTTGGGGGTCTACTATATGAATAACCCCTCTTCTCTCTCTCAACCTCCTTCTTACTGCGAGCTACTACTTGTAGTTTTATGCACATTTCATCATAATCTCGGATATCTAGATGAGCCAATTGTTCCCTCAATTCTGGTCTAGCCTTCTCCAATAAGCGCTTAGCCTTCCATTCGGAATCATCCCTATACTGCAGGTACGTGGAGTATCTAGATAACTCCTGAAACTTAGCAATGAATGTGTCCTCATCGAGGTTCCCTTGCTTAAAGGCATGGAATTCCGCTTCCTTCTCAGACCTTAACTCTGATGGAAAGTAATGCCTAAATAATTTTTCCTTGAATTCCTCCCAGGTGAGTGTAGAATCATCCCTGGGCCCTGCTGTCTCCCACCAATCTCTTGCTCCTTTCACTAGGAGCACTAATGCTACTTGTACTTTTTGATTGCTGGTGCATGTGACTACTCGAAAGATGGATTCGAGTCTCTTCACCCATTCCTCTACCACGGATGGTTTAAGGTTACCATCAAACGTAGGAGGGTTAAACTTCCTAACAGTTTCCCACACATCAGTAATGGTCGGTGGGGCTCTCTGTTCCTCCTGCCTAATTTCTTTCCTTCTAGACTCATGATCTCTCAGAGTGGCAGGATGTGAGGAACTGCCTTCCCCCACATGACTCTCAACATGAGCCCTATCTCCATTTTCAGTTACCTTTTGCCTCTTTAGCTCCGTCAACTCTTGTTCGTATCCTTGAACCTTGTCTGTTAATGTTTTTACAAGCATTCTTAATTCCGCCAAGTCAGGCTCCTCATTTGGCAGTGGCGGTGGCAGGTGCTCATGTTGGAATCCTGAGTTACCACGAGTAACAGGCATTTTCTCTCCCCTCCTAAAGGATACAAGATATAAATAATAAAATTAGCCTAGCTATATCATGGCCATACAATGAGAAGCACCATAACAATGTATATTGCCAACCGACTATATGCTCTGATACCAATATGTAACACCCTCAAATTTACAAACCGATTTTTCGCAAGTTATTAATTCAAGAAATCATTTTTTTTTTCATTGAACCCTTATCATACCCTTATCATGGTAGAAAAATTTCTACCATGATACATCCAAGACAATATACCACAGGTCTTAAAATATCTCAAAAAGCAATTAGAACCATGAGGGACAGACATGATCCTCATAGCATGTTATTTAAATTAGGTCATGAATCAAAAGGGACAGACATAATCCTCTTGGACATATAAATGCATTTAATAAAAAGGATTAGAGTTTACATGCTCCATAGACAAGATATGTCCTAAGTTGGCACAAGATACATTGTATAATCCAAAATAAGAGGCAACGTAAAAGATGGTGTCTCATACACCATAATTACACCTCTGGTGCTTTCTCGGCCGGATTCGCTCCTGTAAAAATATTAACCACGGGGAATGAGACTTAAAAGTCCAGTAACCAAAAATTAATATGTAATGATGCATGCGGATGTAACTAATCATGCGATTGCTAAGTGGGCACACAAAACATTTAACCGAACAATATTTTCAAACAAACCGAACAAGTATTTAATTGCATGACTGCACCTTATATCCTCCTTTCACCATGCTCGGACGCCAAATCACCCGGCCAAAGGTGAGTTGGACCAAGCGACACGCCACTCATTGGGTCCAATGAGGGCTTACCACGTGGTAATAATTAACCGAACAGAAATTCCCATTAACACCATACATTAAAATACCCTGACAAGTCATGCATCATTCAAATATCCAAACAGGAATATATCCGAACAATAATATCTCATCATGATAAACAAAAATAAATTTTTAACCCACTTGGCAATAATTTCAAACAAGTATATACAGTATTTATTTTCAATAATTCATAATTTTTCCAAACAACAAAACAACACATAACCATTCACAAACACACTCATCACAACACATTAATAATGGTTACCTTGTGTCTTGAATAACAAGTTCCCCTTCACAACTCCTTTTTCACCACTATCTTTGTCAATATAATCTACATAATTATTTCACAATACTATATATTAATTTTACATTAAAATAAATAACTCTAATTTAAAGAGTTAGAAAGTCTTAAATCTATAGTCCATATTAACACTAATTTAAGATTTATGCCTTATTTAACTTCCCAAATTCTTTTCTAAAATTCTCGTACCCTAATGAACTATTTTTTTTTATCCTCAATTCACTTCTAGTATCGCAATTTCATCCTTCTACATTCTAAAAATTCATCTAAAAATAAATTAAAAATTTTAGAATTATCCTGAAGCCTCAAATCACCTTTCTATAACCTCAAAAATACCTATTCATACTTAAATAAATATTTAATAATCATAGATTTATCCCTACATCTCAGATTCCACATAAATTCAACCATATAGATCTAGATTTTAACTCAAAAATTCTTAAACATGAGTTTCAACCTTAAGAAAATATTCTATAATATTTACTATATCCCTAAGAATTTTAACCTATATTTTTAATCCATCATATCATCAGATTAACTATCCTATAGAAAAATCCTAATCAAAATATTTACTCTATCCTACAAAATAATCATATCACTAGAAAGCTAATATTATTTAGAAAATAACTATAAAATTAATTTTGTAATTAAATAAATTTTTAAATGCTAATCTAAACAGGAAAGTTAGAACATACCTGAAGAAAAAGAAAATAATCCCCCCTTGCGAGAAAACGCCGAGCAACGTGAGAGGAAGAGAGAAAAATAATATAAAAATGGGATTGTGAGTCCCAAAATTATATTAAAAAAAAACTATAGGTTTGAATTTAATTATTCAAACCTTTGGGCCCAAAGTTGCAATTTTCTCTAAATTGCATCTTAGCCTCTCATGCTTCCTAATGCACACACCCCCTCCTTTTTATACATGAAGGCACCTCTTCTCTTCCCTCATCTAACCAATGTGGGACTTAGAAACAACAACCTTCCACCCCCCCTTTTTTTTGTTCCTTCTACCTTCTCTTTTTTTTTTAACACACACATAAAAAAAATTATTTATGTATTATATCTTAACTAAATATTGCTTATGTGATTTTAAATTTAAATTTTTAAATTCATAATTAAATACCTAATCATAATATTATTTCTAAATAACCTCAAATAATATAAATTCCTATTATTATCATTTTTTTTCTCAAAACCTAAATTCCACAATTTCTTTATTATATAAAAATCAGGATGTTACATTTGGTCTATAGTGATTATTACTTCAATCAATTTTAGGATAAAATAGGAAGGTTTCCTTGTCACCTAGTAATGCATATTAGTAGCTAACCGTTTCACATTAGATCCTAATCTAAAAAACATGATGCGATCCATCTTTTCCCCTATTACAATATTATTAAGCTTGCTCTCAACAATATTGCTTAATAGATGCTATATAACATTTACAGATTCTTCTCAAGTAATTAAGGTAAAAGTATTCCACGCAAATTGGTGATTACAGATAATACCTAAGATTACAACAACATGTAACAAATAAATAAATGAAGAAGAAAAAATTGTTAGTTGGGGGATTAGTTAATTAGGTTCTATTATAATAAAGGGATGAAGAAAGCCTATATAAGGGATCTTGAGTGTGAGTCAGATGTTATGCTTAACGTGGAAAAACCCAGAAATATATTCACTTCTCTCTCTGCCTCTATTTCCTTTTTCTCTCTTGTATCTTGTCCCTCATCTTTCTTTCCTATTTCTCCTTTGTTTTATTATATTTCTCTCTTATTCTTCCCTCTTCATCTCCTTCTACCATATCAGAGTTATCCAAAGCCTATCTTTCCTCACCTTTATATGCCAGAAACGTGTTCCTAAGTTGCGTTCAAGAAGATGACAGATCGAAATGATGCAAGACTTTATACATTAAAGAATCAATTCTAAGCCCTCACTACCTGAATAGCTCAACTTGATTGACAGCCTAATGAATCCCATAATGGTGGAGGGTCATCTTCCAAGGATGGAGGTGGCATCCATTAACCTATACTAGAATCTCCAAGATTCCAGTAAGATGACGTTCTTAGGTAGCTTTTAAAGTTTTAGTGAAACACTAGATTCTTGGGAAGTTATCGTGGCAAGAATTCACTTAGACAAGGAGGTATTCCAATGGCACCAATCTTCTATGCAGATAAAGAAGGGTAAACAACTTTCTTGGGAAGTCTATGTAGAAGCCTTAAAGAGGTATGTAGCAGGACTAGACGAGGACCTTGTTGCTGAAGATTGTATCTTGAAGCCTCAATCATTGCTTAGAGCATCGCACAAGTGCATGATTTCAATCTTCAAAGAGCGAGAGACACACAAAAAGTCCAAAAGGCAACAAGTCTTGATTTTCATGATGGGTTTTAGAATACTTTATTGGGCTCAGACAAGTGGACAGGACTGCAAAACACATCTAGTGGTGGTGGGCCTTAACATGTTGAGGAGAAAAAGTCCTTTCCCTTGAAATTCATTCTTTTTATTTGAAAACCGATCCTAATTCCTCTATTTCTTCAAGTGTATAGGCCTCTTCTTAAAAAAAACTAACTCAAAAATCACAAAAAAGTTAAACCCAAAAAAAGCAGTAGAGCACAGAGATTGAAAGATTTGTTTTTTCTATCCTCAAAAATTCTACAAACATAGGTATCATTTCAATTCATGTGCTTGGACAATTTTTCAAGCTAAAAAGTCAAAGCCATAATTGTCATATTTGTGACATTTTTAAAAGCAAAAGCTATGTCATTTTTGTAACATCCCAATTTAAATTTTAATAGTTAATTTGGGTTAATAGAAATTAAAAAAATAATATTTAGAGGTAAGAAAATTAGTAAGAGATGATTATTAAATCTAACTTAGGATATAATTCTAAAAAAAAATAAAAAAAAAAAAAAAAAATAATAATTAAAAAAAATAAAAAAATATTATTAAATTATTATTATAACAAAAAAAAGGGAAAACGTATTAAAAAAAAGGGGAAAGAAGAAGAAGAACAAATTGCTTTCGGCGCCGCGTCATGATTACATAAAATAATAAAAAAAGGGGAGAGAGAGGAAAGAAGAAATAATATAAAAAAAAGATGTAGGACCCATTGAATTTTTATATAACTCACCCGTTTCCTTTCATTTCTTCAATTCTTTTCCTGCGCGCGAGCTGAGGCGGAGAGAAGCGAGTTGCAGGTGCGAAATATCTAAATTTTTAAGGTAAGAGTTTTTAATAGGATATTTAGGGTGTGATTTTAAGCTTTTCAAGACTAAGTAAGTGTTCTAAAAATTTTTCTTAGTCATCCTTCTTCTTTGGTTTCTGAGTTTGTAGTGGTAGAAAATTTAAGATCTGGAAGAGGGATGAATTTATGTTAAATAAATATGATTTTTGAGGTTGTCAGTAATATAATAAATGTTCTAGAGTATAAATTTATTGATGATCTTTGAATCTGTGGCTTATGGATCAAATTCTAAACTAGATCTAAAAATATATATTGATTTATTGAGGTTTAGATGATTATTTGGGATGAGAAATGAATTATTATGGTTATAGGATTATGATTCTAAGCTAGAGACTCAATTTTTAATTTTTGGGTATTTTAGGTACGAATTTATGAAATAAAAAGAAAATTTTGATAATAGAAATTAGTTTAGAAGTTGATTTTTAGATTATTAATGTTTATTGATAATTAAAAGAGGAGTTAAAAATTTTACTTAATAGTATTAACTATAGATTTGTATTAAGATTGAGATTAGAAATTATGTTATATTTTTAATTCTATTATTAGAATTATTTTATTAGTTTCAAAAATTAAAACTAATATTTATAAATAATATGTTATTTGTAGATTGTATTACTGGTGAAGATTGTGGTGAGAGAGAAATTTTAAGGAATAATTTATTGAAAAAGCCACAAGATAACCATGCTTTTAATTTGTGATTAGTGTTACTTCATGTTAATTGGGTGATTATTGAGAAAATTATGAATTTTGTAATATTGTATAATTGTGCAATATTATTATGAATTTGTTTAATTATTGTGGGAGGTGTTGGGAGACTTGCTATTATTGTTGTATTTATGTGCCACGTGGTACGCCCCTATTGGAGCTCAATAGGTGGCTTGTAAGGGCTCGAGCTAATCTACCTTTGGCCGGGTAATTTAGCACCGAGTGAGAGCTACGGCTCGAGGTTAATTGAGGGATATAAGGATGGTTGTTTGTGTGTATTGTAATATTTCTTATATTTGTTGGAAGTATATTATTTTTAATTCTTACTTAGTAAGCACACACTTAACTGTTTGTATACACTATCATAAATTGGCTTTGGTTACTGGGACTTTTGAGTCTCATTATGTGGTTAACAATTTTCAGGAGAAGAGCCACGAGTGACACGTGGAGGAGTCCCAGAGGTTTAGTGGTATAGATCCACTATCTCTTTTGGGTATTTAATTAATGATTTATAATGTGTTATATTGCCAATATTAGGGCTTTTTGTTTATTGTTAATTATATAAATATATAAATGTAATCATGCCTTTCAAACTATTTTTATTTTTGGTACAATTTGGATGACTGTAATTTTAATATTTGGTTTACTTTGGATTGATTAAATTGGCATGATTATAAGGCCAAATAACTGGCTTGTATTGAAAATTGACTAAATTGCTTATTTTACTTGTTGGGAGTATAAGGATGGACAAATATGATTTAGCCTAATGGCATGTGGGAGGTAAAAATTTATCTGAAATGCTATAGTGTGTGAGTTGAAACCAATTATAAAATATTTTTATATTAAAATTATTGATATAAAAATGTGTTGGGTGGCTGTATCCCAACTATGGTTGAGTTAAATTATTTTTTTTAAAAAAATTTTGGTGTGTTACAATTTTCCTTTAATAAACTTAAAGGAGATTCAAAATTTGGTTACTTATCTTAGGTTGTACAAGGTAATGGGGATGGTAGAGGAAGTATTAAATAAAAGGGTTAAATGGAAGCAAGGCAAAATTATCAAAATAATATTGGTTTGGTAGAGAAGCTTGTGGGTGAAGATACTACTTAGTTGTTTCAATATAATTTTCAAATTTTTTTCTTGTTGACCCTTAAGGACAAGGGCATTTGGGGAGGGAAATATTGATATGTAAAGAATAAATAACTTAGTTAGCTGGGGGATTAGTTAGTTAGGTTTGGTTAGAATAAAGGGATGAAGAAGCTTATATAAAGGATCTAAGTGCAAGTCAGATGTTATACTTAATGTGAAAAAACTCAAAAATATATTCGGTTCTCTCTCAACTTTTGTTTCCTTTTTGTTTTTCTCTCTTCTCTCTTGTTACTTATCTTTCTTTTCTATTTCTCCTCTATGTTTATTCTGTTTCTCTCTTGTTCTTCCCTCTTCATCTCCTTCTACCATATCATACACCAAAATGACATTATGAGAAACTCATTTCAAAAACTTGATTGGCATCTCACCCAACATTGCTGGTGTTAGCACACCATCACCTATCATCATGCAAGTACCAAACGATACTACAATGAGCAAACCTCTCTGGATTTCCTATGATTGTCCAAAAGCTTCTTCCGTAGTGGAGAGGCATCAGCCTGTGATGAGGAATCACAAGATGGTTGTTGCTTATCACCTGCTTACTGATTGGGAAGTAAATTAAATTTAGCATGCCTGCAAAGGAGGGTGTAAAGAGCAAATGTCCCACCTGAAAATGGTGGAAACATAATCAAAGCGAATACTTGATAGTTTTTGTTTTTCCTTCCATGAAAGCGATTTGTAAATTGTCATATCTCTCTGATGAATATTAGTCTAAGAATACCTTCTCCATTATCATTAGCATTCAACACGATGAACAAGGTTCTAAGAG